AAGGTCCATGATATTGAGAAAGAAAACCTACAAATAATTCTAAAGGGTGTACGTAGGGTTTCATTAACTTCTAATTATTGGATTTCAAATAAAATAGTTAGTTTTATGTGTTTAACCCTTCATTATATTAATAATTCTTGAAATATACAAAAAAATTAATTTTATTGAAACTACCTCATAGTCATACTAGTATTTGTGATACTATATGTGTTTGTTTACTATATTAGAATCTTCAAGCTAAGGTGCATAAGATAACCTTGAATTAAGTCAGTAAAAATTATGTTGTCGCTAGCTCTCTTAAAGCTAATTTTCAGTCGAGATGTAGGTTGCATTTTCAGTGTTCTTTCTTTATGTTCGGTGTCGTGCATATATATTAAATATTATTATTCAAATGAGCATAAAAGAGGTTCAAGCAATAAGTCATTAAATTCAAGAGTTTGCTAAATATATGAAGAAGTCACCAATGAGACTCCACAAGTTTCTTGAAGTTTCTAAACAAATATGGGTTTCAACATCTAAGGGAGTATCTATTGACATGCCTACAATACGGAACTGGACCTATCAACTACATGAATCTACTTTTTCTTATGAAACTCTTTTCATTCAATATGTAGCTTGAGAAAGAAATTACAAATGAATGCAATCTAATAAAACTGAGAGAGTTATGAGTAAAGTTTTTTGCCATTTTTGTAATGTGACAAAAGTTATCTCAGATTCTTCATACCCAACATCTAATATTTTCTTGTCAATCATGATGCATGTGAAGAAGTTGTTAATAAAGGAGTCTTCTTCTTCAGATGCTTATACTAAAGGAATGAATCTTACAATGAAAATTAAGAATGATAAATACTAGAGTGAGTGTAATCTTCTTATGCTTGTAATAGTTGTGTTAGAACCTTGATTGAAATTTAAGTTTCTTCATTATCCATTTCCAAAAATATTCTCATCCATTGAAATCGATTAACAAATTATAGAGGTTGCCGATACTATTTGGAATATATATATATAAAAGGAAAATGCACTAGATTTGCAAGCTCTATTAGATCAAATATATAAAAGTAAAATGCACTAGATTTGCAAGCTCTATTAGATCAAATGTTAGTATATCTTTGAACTTTCCAAGTGACTTAACTCTTTCACAAAATTTTTATTATATGCTTGGATTTACAATTTTTTTGGTTTCATTGGGTTCCTTTCAACCCTCAAAATCAAATTTATAAATATATCGTGAGGAGGTTTTATTTTTGGCTAGTAATGATCAATTTGATATTCTTGACTCATGAAAATGGAACACTCTCAAATATCCATGTTTATTCCAAATATTTTATCAATTCTAATAATAATTGTGGCTTCAGAGTCTGCTTTTAGTACTGGCGGGACAGTTCTTGATGAATATATAGGTTCATCATCTACAAAGATAGTCAAGGAACTTATATGTTCATCTAGTTGAATAAGAGTTTTCACAACTAGTATGAAAACGCCCTTGGTAACAAATTTTATTATAAAACCTACTAAAATTTGTTTAAACTTGTCTTTATATATATTTATATCTATTTTTCTCAAAATAGAAAGGAGGAGATAATAAATGAAGAACACGTGGCTGTAAATTTATCAGAGCGATCATATTGACGACTCAATGTCGTGACCATGAAATAATTTGTTTAATTTTGGATCCTTGATCATGACACTTATAGGGTTTAACTTCTTATTTTTTGAAGTTTAAAAAATATATTAATGTGTGACATTTTTTACCAATAGCTTGGTGGTTTAGCCTTTGATATTAAACTTAATACTGGATTTGTTTATACTTTTATCGGAATTGCTTTTACCATTCTTATTTTTCTTAATTTGGCTGTTAGGATGGGTATCTTTTGTCGGTTTGATTGCTTCTTGCTTGTTGGAATTTTCATGTGCTAGTTGCATTCCCCTTTGGCTTCTCTCTTTGAAGTTTGGTTTGGAATTAGTATCATGTTAGATTAAATTCTTGATTTGTATGAAATTTTTTTAACTATGATGAATTCTAGAGATGCACAATCATTAAACCAAGCTAGGAAATACATTTTTCTATCTTCAGGATGGAATCATCAAGATTTATTTCAGGTGTGTTTTGATCTCTTTTTCTCTCTTCTCCTTCTTCATTTTTGATGGTTTTTGTGAAACTCAGTGAGATCTTTTTGCAATCGATTTGTTTCTATTGGATGGCGGAAGCTTTTAAAGTATTTTGGTTGTTGGAATTTTGAAATATACAAGTAACTTCTAAAGAGTTTTTGTTTATTGTTGGATGGTGAAAGGTTGGAAGCTTTTAAGATATTTTGATTATAGTTAGATGGCGCAATCATCATCAGTTACTTTTAAAAAGGTGCAAGTGTTAAGTATTACTCTTATAGCTTACAACATTTATACTTCTATGGAGAATGGCATTTCTTGTTTTTTTTTTGTGATTTTATCTTTTATTTATTTTATCATTTTATCTTTCTAACATCTGCTTACTATTTCATTGACTTTTCAAGCTTATAACATCCAAGTTTTTATTCTGAATTCAATTGTTTATAACCAAATCCTGCTTATGCTCGTCTTCTGACATTTTTTTTATTTGAAAGATTTACAATCATTCCACTCAATTCATATGTATTTACAGGTTTCTATTATTTTCTTATTTAGAAGATTTATATGCATACCACTCAACGGTCAATACACACATCTGATATTTTTTAATTGGAAGATTTACTTACATCTCTGTTTTCATGTTATTAGACGCTTCTGGCATATTTTATTTGGAAGATTTATATGCGTACCACTCAATTGTCAATTGATGCTTTTGACATTTTTTTATTTGGAGGATTTAGATACATACCACTCAATTCCTATGTATTTACATCTTTAACTCTGAAACTTCATTGTTGGCTTTTGACATTTACGTACATACATATCTAACTGTTTATAACATATTGGATCAATATTTGGTTGATCGTTGGAGAATATTGAAGTTTTGTTGTCCTCTTGATGAAATGACTTGTTCGTAACTTGAAACAATGAAGATTTGGACATTGGTTGAAGATATAATAAATTTTTTATTTTGTTTTTGAAGCAGTTGTAAAAGTATTATATTTTTCCTCTAGCTTTAGCTATACTTTATGGTGGTTCGGTGTTTACCATTTGGAATCTCAAAGGCTTGTTGCCTAATTTTTTCTAATATAAATATATGTTTCTCTATAATCTTACTGATTTTAAACATATATTTCATTTTGAGCAATGAAGATTTCCAGAGATAGTTTGAGGACTCGACTCATTTGGCCTTTTAGGGTTTAATCTCTAGTTATTTCAAAGATGTATCTTTTTTTCTCTTCTTGGAATGAGTCCTTTAGTTTTGTGAGGGGGTTTTCTGTGATCTTCCTTTTTATCCTATTCTTTTTGCTGTTATACAGGTGCAAATCATTTTGTTAATGAAAGATTGGGCATGAAAATGTTATTTCTTCTTAGCTTGGATATAGCTTTGCATAATTTTTGGCTCATCAAATTATACATTCCACAAGAAGAGAAAAAATTGAATATTTTTGTATTTTTTTAAGTAAATGTAGTGTAAATGTGTAATAAATTGGTATGTTATGATTTTTTTTTTTTGAGATGTAAATGTTCTAAAATTGTAAAATTTATAATTGTGATTAATTTTAGTGAAGTAATGTATTTTTGTCATGTAATACTTGTTCATTTGTGATTGTAAATTTGTTACTGTTCTCTGTTATTCAAAAAATTAATACAAAGATTTTCTTTAAAAAATTAATAATTTAAAATAATTTTTTCTCTTATTTCAAAAATTAATACACAGTTTTTTTTTCATATTTTACCCAACATTTGTGTTTTTTAATTAATTTAAGCATTAATATTTAAAATAATTATTTATTCTATCGAGCCCCTCATATTTTACCCAACATTTGTGTTTTTTAATATTAATATTTAAAATAATTATTTATTCTATCGAGCCTAATTTGGGGTGAACTTGACCATGCGAATAACTAAAAATTGATGAGTCGAACATGAATAGAGTGTTTACGAGGTGATTTGAATATGAGTCAAATACGAACAGTGATATTTTTTAACGAGTGAACACAAGAGCCCCTAATCCTAAATAATGTAATGATGTATCTCAAATATGGTATAATGATGTATCCTAAATGTGGCATGACAAATAATGATGTATTAAAATCCTTATGATAGCTTCCAACCTCTATTGTCACTAACCACCGTTGACCTAGTCGGCCATCGTTGCCCACCAATGTTAGCAAACTCTGCTAGGTAATGATGTATTTAAAATGTGATGTAACGTTGTATCCCAAATATAGTGTAATTGCGTATCTCGACTATGGTGTTATAACATATCTTAACTATGGTGTAACGATGTATGCTAAATGCGTTGTAATGAATAACATCGTATTGAAGACACAATGATATCTTCTGGCCTCTTAAGACACTAACGACCCTTGCTTGTATATATATGATGTATCCCAAATACGGTTATAAAATATTGAAGAAATAATAACCCTTAGAGTCTTAGTGACCAACCACCATTAGCATTCACTACCAGCTGCCACTGACCACTAGCCATCGTTGACCACGATTTATGTGCACATATCCAAAGCACAATGTTTGTTTCGAGCACTTGTATTTTTTGTGTGTTGTATAAAGACAAATGTGATATTTTGTATATAAAATTAGAATCCCACTCCTTAA